GACACCTGATGGATAAGATGACATATATTCTTTCCTTCTTCAATCCAATTATTTGGTCAACCATGAACCCTCTTCCCAGAGGGAGTGCTTTCTTAATTCTGAAAAGTAATTAGATGTGCATAAGAACATAAGAATTAGGAGTAGGAGTAGGCCATTCAGCCCTTCGTGCCTGCTCCACCATTCAATAAGATCATGGCTGATCTTCTCACCTAACTCTGATTACCTGCCCTATCCCCATATCCCCTAATCCCTCTATTTTCCAAGGGTTGGCAAGAGCCAAGGTTTGAGAACCTGAGAGTGTAAGTCGGGATACTACTAGAGTTTAAACAGTTTAAACAGCTAAAACTACTTAGCTTGCTACTGTGAGCATTGTGTTGCAAAGCTTGCTGCCTCTTACCCAGCCAGAACCACCCTCCCCATTAGAGCTTTGGTTTCTAGGGTTAACAGGATTTCCGTGGCCTCTAGTGACCAGTCTGCCTCTCCAAAGCCTGCCAATGAGCCAGGCTGGTGTGTCTGTCATCAATAGTGCCTCAGAGTATTGCAACCTGGCCTAGAATACCACGACCAACACATTCCTTTGTCAGCAAGTCCTCTTGGAGCCAGGTCAGCCAGAAGGAGATCCTGCTTACTAACCCTGCACCCCCACCCACGCAACCCCTCCACCCCCGCCCCCCCCAACCCCCGCTTCCCCCAAAAGGATAGACATTAGTTGGTCATTTGACATCTGACAAGTGCTGGTTTAAACCCTCACAGGGTGTATGGCAGGTAACCAAGAACTCCCCACGAGTTTCCTGCTCAGCAACTCAACTCAGCATGATCTTTCGATCAACAAAAGAAAACAACCTTTTTCTCAAGCAAGTGAAGAGAAACCAATGAAACAGGACTACCCTGTTCAGAACTGGTTTGGTTGAAGACTGACTGTGATCTGCGGGCAAAACAAAGTAATTTTTTATAATACGCCTTCATATTTGTAAGCACAATATGATATACTGATAACACAGAGAAACAGCCAAGATCATTGCTGTAAATTGACACTGGTGAAACTTGTATTCCATTAAAAACATGCTTTGGAAAATGGAGTGACTCCCAGTAGCTTGGACTCCATATGGAAGGAGTTAACAGTGATTACTGGATAAATTAGGTGGATGCCATTTGACAGCCTGAAGTAAAATTTGGGAAGACAAGACTTGAAATGTTCCTGATATTTGTTTAGAAATATTAAAGAATACAAGCACCAGGAGTAACAAATCTTATCCCAGTCCCTTAAAAATTTGGCTGGCTCTTTTTTCTAGCAATATGGAGAATAACACCTCGCATGCCAAATCTCTGCCATAGTCTCCATGTTTTCAAAAGGCAATGAAGAATTTGTATCAACCAATAGACGATAGAGAAAATTGTCAGAATATAATTAACCTCCGATTGAATTGCATTCGTCTACAGATTACCCAGTCACTCCACTTAGAGTCATCGTTTGAGGTGTCCTCCTGACGTGAAAGGTGCTATATCAAATATAAGGTTTTTATGTTATTATTATCTGTGTCTGGTAATGGTTTGTGCAAGCTTTTAAATCAGGGAAATACTGAAATGGGCTTGCTTGCAAGCATGTGACAAAGGCTACCAAATTGGATTATCCGGAAAAAAAGTGTAAGATGAATGTCTCCTCCTCCAGATCAACCGTGTACACAGAATATTGTCACTAACTTCGGACTTGTATAGAAGTTTCGCTGAATGCATTACAAGTTGACGTGCAATTTGTTGTTTTGTTGTTGAGACGTATGTACATAAATTCAGCAGGTCTCAAAATACTTTGATTATTAAATCTTCACAACTTTTTGGTTACTCCCTGTCCAATGTTTTCTATGAATGTTAATGCAACTAAATACACTCTTAAAATATATATACACCTGTTACAGAATGAATGAACGAATCTGTCTCAGCACCCAGAACATAACAGTAGCCAATTGATTCTGATGCATGCGGGGGAAGGGTGGGTGATCATTCATTCAGTTGCCGCTTATCTCATTCTCATCATCCAGTCATGTTAGGTTAATGTGGTTTAACCATTTGTGTCCAATTAAACACAAATCAAGTCTTCCTTTCTGGCCATTAATGTAAGGAAAAGTCAACGTTTGAACAGGAAGCCAATCTCTTAACTCAGTGCCGTAGGATTGCTTTTTTGTGCCTCGATCAAAAAAAGTGTTGGGAATCTTAATTTAGGAGCAAGTATCAGTTAGAAGGTTAGAATTGAGTTTTATAGTTAGTCAGCGTGAAGGGCGCTATGTAAATGCAAGTTGTTGTTGTTATAGTTAGGCAGGATACTTGTTTTTCTGCTGATAAAGACATTCTTTTCAGAGATCTCTTTAACGATTGAGTTTCCCCACTCTCACCATTGTGTCATTGTGGGTGATGGTGGTGCTTGTATTAATACTGGCCGACAGTCTTGGTATCTCAATGGCCCAGAGCCACCCGACATTGTTTCTGCCTCACTCGCCCCAATGTTTTTCCCATGTCTCTATATCAGATTGTCCCAGATTACCTTTGTATCGAGTTCAGCCCTTAACACCTTTTTAAGAACCATTAGCTGCCTCTTTGTGTACCCAATTACTGTTTAATTTCTTTCTAATGTCTTGGTTTTTCAAAGCTATTTTCCTCAAACATGACCTCACTTTCTCGGTACAAAGGACCTTTTGCAGATCAATTGGTCCAATTGTAATGAAGGTCGCACTTGGAATGTTAACCTAACATTTCTCTTTCAGATGCTGATTGACTTTTTTTGCTCATTTTCAAATAAGTTAACTTACAAAATTGTTTTCTTTCACATTCTCTGCTATTGGGACGTCCTCCCGACATGAAAGGCGCTCTATAAATGGAATCTTGTTGTTGTTGTTGTATTAGGTGAAATGGTCTGTGCGAATACAATCTGGTCTACATGTTGAAACAGCTTAACTGTAAACTATCCCCTTCTTATAACCATATATCTCTATAGTTCCTATTTTAGTAACTTTAGTTAAGAAAGGCTAAAGCCACACTGTTAATTTAAAACATTTATATGAGGCCAGGATGCTGGAATCATTAAAAAGAAATTCTTGATGCTGCAATGGTAGGGTTAGTATTCTGGAAGGATGAGATCAAATGTGCCAAATGGCTTTCTTCATCCCAAACTCTTGTAATCTTGACATTACTAGTATGTCTTTGGAGGCAACTACTAATGGGCAAGGGGTGTTTTTCCTGCATCCTGATAAAGGATGATGGATTTGGAGTCAGACATGCCAAGCGCTCCGAGACGCAGTCCGGCATGAAGGGCGCTATATAAATGCAAGTTGTTGTTGTTCTGGTGATGGTGAACAGCTCATCATCAGCTTTGCTGGCAGACTGAGGCCTTTGGGAAAAAATGATTACAGGAAGGTAGAAGTCCAGAAGCATTGAAATTCGCCCCTGATTCTGTATTTCCGGACCTGGAGAAGAATCTCCGCTCTAGCAGACACTTGCTTTTCAGTTCTGCACCGAGCCTCAACTTATTAAATATAGCTTAATCAGATCAGCCTGACACATTGAGAATACTATTTAAATGCCTGCCGCATGTACGAGGTGCCATGGTATTGCGGTTTAATAATAGGGTTTGTTTATGCAATTGTACGTGAATGATTCGGAATTCCAGAAACAAACACCATGGCAACTCCCAGTGACCCTGCAGTGGACGGCTGTGATTGGAGTTCCTCAAACACGTTCTGCCTCAAACACCATTTATTAAAACTTATGAGAGGTCATTTCTCACAACCATGTCAGGAATATTGTGTAATGATTCTTTATCCATTGATCACTTTTTGAAAGCATGCTCGAGGCGTGAAATGCTTTGAGCACCCTCTGTCACCTCTTCTCAATAATAGTAATAATCTTTGCATTTGATACAGTGCATTATCACATCTTCGAAGTGTCTCGAAGCACTTCACAGAATATATTGTAAAGTGAATTAATTGACTGTGTATGTTGTGGGCAAAAGTAATATTTAAGACAAGAGCAAAGCAGCAATTAATGAGTGTGATGGTGTCTTTCATAGATTTTAAGAAAAATAAACTTTTTTTAACACTTTACGGAAACACATGCATGTCAAATATCTCAAAATATTAAGTAGCTACTGTTAAATGCAGTGACAGTGTTTAGTGGGCAATCACAAGATCACGTAGGACCCTAGAAATACAGCACCAGTATAACCCAGCAAGGTCATGAGGTGAATGACCAATTTATCATGAGGATTATTGGCAAGTACACAGGTACCACTGGATTGTTAATGTCCACCTGAACAGGTAGACAGGGTTTTAGTTTTAATGTTTCTAGTTGAAGCACAGCATCTCTAACACTGCAGCACACCCTCAGTGCTGCATAGGAGTGTTAATCCACTCACAATTGTGAGGTCAAAGTCCTACAAACCTTTCAACCCACAGATGATAGTGCTACCTTCATGTGAATTGCATAAATGATACATACATGTCAGTGATTATAAGGCATCAGTCTCTTAGAAAGCGGTGACAATTTATGATTGTTATTTGAACCCTGGGATTTGAACATTTCCTTAAAGTCATTTGAAGGTATTATATTACAGTGTGAGATCTGAATGCATATTGCATTTATGACATAGGACCTGAAGGCATCTGGACAATACAATGCAGGATCCGAAGGTAAATTGGATTTAAGACAAAGGATCTTAAGATAAACAGGAAATATGACACAGGATCAGAAGGCGTTGTAAATCATGTGGCAGACTCTGGAATACAGTATTTATAATGTTACAATGCTATAATGTGTTTCTTTTTCTCCTTTTTTCTCCTTATTCTTGTCCAGAAGATGGTGGCTCACAATTTAATTTCAGGAGGAACTTATTACAACAATAACAACTTGCATTTATATAGCTCCAATCATGCCGGACGGCGTCTCGGAGCGCCTAAACAAAAAACAAAATGAAGTTCTCCCTTTAAGTTGTACAGAACTCAGGGCTACCCTACCTTTCAGTTCCATTCTCTGATCAGTTTGGCTTCCCATCATTGTGGAATCCTGTGAATGGAGAGAACCCAACAGTGAATTTTAAAGTCTTACAGAAGTTACCTTCATTTAAAAAAAATCACACAGAAGGCTACTATGGAATTTTGTAGGATTTTTCAATTGAAATTCCCCTTGTTCGATTGATGGCTATTTGTAATTACATTTAAGCCTCTGAGGTATTTCTCCGCTTATTAAAATATCCAAACAGATTCTTGTATTATCTTTTTAAATCCAGCAGGAATTCCTCCAAATATTTATATCAATAGCACTTGGGTTTCTATAGCATTTGAATCAGACATTCAACAGAGTTAGTTAAATATTGGGAGTTGGAGCTAAGCACATATTCACACAGTCATCTATTAAGCACGCTCAGCACATAAAGGGTTAACCACCATCTGAGTGGATGATCTTTACAGTATCAAACTGATATCTAGTTTAATATGGAATTGAGCAACTCTTTGTGGGAAAAGGCATTTCGTATTTTGAGTTATCCAGAAAACGTGGCTTCCAAAAGAACACCCATTGGCTCACTGTTTGAGGTACTTATTGCTTCCAGTGCTGGATAGACTTTGGGTAGATGTGTGGGAAATATGACAGCAGTGTTCCTCAATGACTTCCAAACAGGCATCTGTAGAACTGTGTCAAATGGCAGTTTATCTGCCTCAGGTAACCAAACATTTCCTGTACTTAGTTGGGAGGCTGTGTAATCAATTTGAGATGTACCTGCGGAACTCCGAAATCCCATCTTCCAAAGCTTCCACAATCCAAGTCGTGTTTAAGAATTTGAAGCACGGCTGAACCCAGCCTGGGAATAAACGCAAAATTCATAAACTGAAAAAAAATCCCTAATTCTTATTTAAATTTATTCCTCTGGCATGTCATCTAAAGAAAAATTCCTTGTTTTTTGAAAAGCACAGGCAATTAATTTCCAAATCAACATTAATCTTCTGAGTGGGACGACTGCTCGAAGGGATAAAATCTTGTCAAAAAGTTTCCAGAGTGAGTTAACCATATAATTATTGATATCACAATGAAATTGTCATTGAGATGACATATATATGTGTGTGGCAATGAGATATTATTAATATTTAAATTAACTTAGGATTCTCCTTATTCTCAGTTTACCAAAATCTTCCATATTAAAAAATGTAACTAATAATAATAATCCTTGCATTTGATATATCGCCTTAGCACATGTTGAGACGTCTCAAAGTGCTTCACAGAATATATTATATTGTAATTATTATATTGACTGTATATACTTTATGGGCGAAACGTGGCAGCCAATTTCACACAGCAGTATTCCACAAACAGATGTGGACTGAGTGACCAAATTATTATTATTTTTTAAGGGATTATTACCCCTGGAAAAGCGATCCGCCAATCAGATTGTTTGGTGAGTGTACAGCATTGTACAGCATTGGGCACACAGGCAGAGGTTGCTAGTTTGAGTCCCAGGCTTGGTGGAACTCTTTGGGCCAATTTTCCAGCTGTCTGTTGGCCAGGATTGAGCACCATCGATGGCAGCCATGTTTCTGGCCTCGCTGCTTCAACTGTACGTGAAAAGACGACAAATGGCACAAAGGGGTCGATGGAAGCGTTGGAAAGGACTGATATTGCTCCGAGACTGAAATTACACAACATTTTAGAAACTTTTCATTACCTTTTTTGTTGTTTTCTGAGAAATGCCAAATATGGCATGAAAACACTAGCTTCAAAGTGTTCCGAAACATTTCATTTTCACAGTCTTTAATTAAGAAAAGTACATTACAGTATTTACTTTTACTAATTTCCACATAAATCAAGGATAAGAAAACACAGACAGACATGAGAAAGACCCAGTCTAGTCTGCTGCTAAATGAATGAAAGTCATTAGAGGGATTAGTGTCATATTGTAAAGATAATGGAGCAGGATTAAAAACAAATCATTCAATTTGAGCGTCTCTTCAGCAGCAGTTTGATGTCTTCAGCTGATTTGAGATGTTGAGAAAAATCACGCTCTTTCTGAACTGTGCTTTTTACACGACACTAAAATGATGCAGAATTGTCTTACAAAGAATATCCATTGAATTCTGGTAGAAAATGGACTGGATACCCAGTCAAGGCAACAAGTACAATACAGTAATCCAAAGTGGGATTTTAGATGACATCAAAGGACACCCAATATGAATTTAGCTCTCGACATTAGTCTGATTTGCACAATTGTAATTCATTCTCAGGAAAAGACAAATCTAAAATGTTATCTTACCGCTAGTTGAGTTGCGCCTGTTTGTGTCCTTGTGTGTGTGCAAGCGTGTGTGTTAGAGAAAGAGTGCAATTTTGTCTTTATACAAACTGAACTACAGAGAGAATTTATATCAGAAGGAAGATTAATGGTTTTCAGATGACATCTTGTTATGTTTGGCAAAAAATTCCAGGCTTCTCATGGTGAGTTTGAAATATAGTGGTTATGTGTTTGAAGTGGGAAAATTGTCCATTTCAGTTGTTAAACGAGAGCAGTGATATAAGACTGAACATATTATTACCTGATGGAATCTGTAGCTTTACAGAACCAAAGGAATAGTCTGTAATTTTTTTTTTAGTTTTTGTCCACCTATTTCTAAGTATTTACCCTCTATTGGGATAAAATTCTGTCTGGGTCTAAAGGTTTACTCTATTCATGTATCATTTTTAGAACAACCAGAATTTGGCAAATTACTGAATCAGTCTAAACTTTGAAGCCACTTTTTGTAGTTCTTAAAAGAAACTTCAGAAAACTGGCTTCTTGATTACGACTGTATTTAAAACTTTGCTAAATTCTAGATGCTCTGAAATGCTGCGAAATTAGTATAAATCTAGATCCAGGTGGAATTGTACCCTTTGTGCTAAAGAATCAAACTATGTTGCCCTCAACCTGAATCTGCTTAACTATCTCATCCAGCTCAATTTCATTTTGAAAAATAATTTCAATTTGTTTGCAATAATCTCTTTAAAATCACTTTAAAATCAGCTGAAGTACTCTGGCAGGTTGATTCAGATTTTATGAAATCATTCCTAAACTTCACAATCATATCATTAGCCCCAGCAAACGAGAGAGAACCTGAGACTTTTTATCAAAACAGTAGTGTTTGTGAGAAATCCCATCAGATATTTTTAAACAGATTTCAGCTCACATTGAAGTTTCTGTGCTTCTAGCAGGTCACATTTTTCTGGTGGGTAAAGGTTCTCTATTATTCCCAGCAAAACTGCAGCCAGGCCCCAGTCTATCCCAGGTCTTTTGATGTTCTGAATCCTCTTCATATCCCAGATAAAAAGTCAGTGATTAAGACAGAGTTCCTGATGGGAAGCATGCTCATGGTTTCTTTAAGGCGAAGGTTTCTCAGTGAATCAAACTTTTCTCTGCTCAGGAGCCCCACAAAAGCCCCTGAAAAGATGGATAGAGCAATTGTCCTGTTTAGTGATCCGCAAAGGGAATCGAGTCCCTTGTGAAGGGGCCAACACAAAGTCTGACCCCACACTGTAGGAGGAGTACAATGAAAGGCCAAGGGGACTAACGAGAGGAAAATGTGGACAATAGGTGCTGTAGCCAACGCACAACTCCTGCCATGCAGACTATGGTGCAGAAACATTAACTGCTTCAGACATATCAAGAGTAAGCGAAGCATAAAGAACTTGACGTTTCCTCCTTGGCGGTGTGGTCTGTCAACTTAAAAGAGTAACCGAAGCCTTTAAGATGCTGAGAAAGAGGTCAGAGTGACACACAGTCTCATTGACGGGACCAAATTCATTTAGAAAATACATAAAGTTTTGAAACAATATCATTTTGAAAGTAAAACGCCCCCCAACCCCCCCCAGCAATCCCATAACTTCAGTGTGTGAACGATCCCGAGTGCTCATCAGAATCCTCAGGCAAAGAGCATCTCATCATCCGTTGCCATTCGCTTTAAATCTCCTCCCTTTTCCCTCGATACCACTGAAATTGATGGGTGGTACAAGATCACCCGCAGTCTGTGGCCTCACACCCGGACACATACTGAGAACGTGTGTGGAGAGACGGCTCAAGACGTGACCAGCTGACTGCCAGTCATGGAATCCTGCACCAAAGTACTGAGGTCTAAGGGCACAACTGCAGGGGAAACACAGCACAGCAGTCAGTGGACCTCAGCAGACCACTGATCCGGGTGTTTATCGTGACACATACATTGAAACTAATATAAGTGAAGAAAGCTAGTGTGCTAATTGGCACTGAGGCTGGAAGATGTGTTACTGGAAGAATGGCTGGAGGTGTATTTGTCCTTTAAAATGTACCAGGGCAGTGTGGGGGGGGTGGGGGAGGATGGATAATTTGAGCATTTTTGCTTAACAAGAGTAATACAATTTCAGATCAGGCTTATCATCAGTTTTGCTTTCTTTAGCCTGTTTGTTTCTTCCCATCACTTTTGTCTTCCAGTCGTTTTGTGCTGACCTTCTCCCTCCTGATCTATCCGACTGTTCCTGGCAAATCATCCACCTTCTCTCCGCGTTTCACCTTTGAGGCTAGAGAGTGGGAAGTAGCAAGCTGAGCAACCACAGATGGCATCATAGCCAAGCCTAATCAACAACAACAACAAACAACAAGCGCCCCTCACACAGGGTAGCGTGTCTGAGTGCTTGACGGTGGGGGGCACAATGCCGAGCTGAGGGGAAGGGGGATACATGATCACCCGCGTGTATGCAAACACACACTTACCAGAAAGGAGACTGGTTATCTATCCGGAGCAGAAACATTCACAGGTTTCTGATGCCAGTGTCAGGATGACCGATTGCAGTGCCCTGTTTGTGGCTTGGCTGAGCTCAACGCAGAACAGGAATCAACAATCAAGCCAACAACATTCTTTGCCTTGGTACACAAGAGGGGGAGGGGAGACGCGGGTGGCTTTACCCACATGAATTTAAATAAATTATCCAAATTGCTCCAAATTACAAGCAAGTTGTAAACTTAAGCCATGGTCACCTTTTACCATTTTCACTCCTTCATTTGATTCGTTTTTTTACCTTCTTACTTTTTCTGTCCTGAGTACAGATCCTCAATTGAGGGGCAGAGATGAGAGAGGAGCCAGCAACTTATTGCCAGTGTTTCTCACCACAGGAGGGTCAGTGGTATGTGCATTCCAGGGCAACCCTCCATTCCGCCAATTTACCATCTGACCCTCACTAACAATCAGGAAATGCGTAGACTTTAACTGACACTTCCGACTGGGAATTCACTATACAGGGAATGCCAAGCACCAACTCGTGACCCAAGACTCCCTGACAACACAACTCTTAAGGTGGATTTTTACAAGAGTTGCATTGTGGAAAAATATTGCCAAGCGGCCTGACGAGATCATGATGAGGTTTAGCCAGGTCAGGTCATGAGTGGACTAGTTTCCATATCCTATAAGCAAACCTGCATTGTTTATTATAACATCAAAGAACTGGCAAACATCAACACATTGGACTATTTATTACAATTTTGAGAACTTTATGGATGGGTTGTTTAAAAATGTCTTTTATCCAGGTAAGTAGAGGCGAAGGAATACTCAACAGAGCCAATTGGCACGGTTAGGTGTGTGCCGTTGCTATGGTATATAATGAGGTCCTGAGCAGTTCTGGGTCAGACTGTAACATTGCTGGGTCGCAGGTAACCTTCTATGACATTGTGTTCGATGGATATTGTTGCATAGTTTGCAAGTGTTTCACTTTCAAGGCAAAAGAAAGCCTCCCTAGCGGTTGAAAAGAAACTCTTTAAAAGTTGCATTTCATTTGATACCCTGTCTCCTCAACCTACGCATATAAAAGTA